AAGGATGGAAGAAAGGGAAGGAGGAAAAAGAGACGAATGGAAGGACAAAAAGGGTGGAAGGGAAGAAGAAAGGGAAGGAGGAAGGAAAAAGAGAAGGACGGAAGGGAGGAAGAGAAGGATGGAAAGAAGGGAAGGAGGAATGAAAGAGAGAAGGAAGGAAGGATGGAAGGAGAAAGAGGGAGGTAAGGAAGGGAGGGAGGTAAGGAGGAAGGAAAGCGAGAAGGAAACCAAAGGGTGGAAGGGAAGGATAGAAGAAGGAAGGAAAAAGAGAAGGAAGGAAGAAATGGAAGAAGAGAAGGATGATGGAAGGAAGGAAGGAAGGAAGGAAGGAAGGAAGGAAGGAAGGAAGGAAGGAAGGAAGGAAGGAAGGAAGGGAAGGGAAGGAGGGAGGGAGGACAAAAGGATGGAAGGAAATTGAAGGAGGGAGAAAGAGGGAGGGAACGACTTGAGGGAGGAAAGAGAAGGAAAGACAAAAGGGAAGGAAGGAAGGAGATAGGAGAGAAGGAAGGAGAAAGAGGAAAGGAAGGACAAAATGGTGGAAGAGAAAGAAGGAGGGAGGGAGAAAGAAGGAGGTAAAGAAGGAGGAAGGGAAGAAGGAAAGAGAGAAGGGATAAGATGGCGAGAGAGAAGAGGGCCTGAGATAAGAGCCCAAGGGGCCGCATCCGGCCTCTGGGCCTGGGTTTGTCCATACTGGGTCTACACTATCAAATTATTGCAATTCAATACCACTTTAACTGCTATGGCTCTATGCAGTAGAATCCTGGGAGTTGTATTCTTAGAGGGCCTTTAGCCTCCTCTGCCAAAGAGTGCTGAGACTCACCAAACTACATATCCCAGGATTCCATACTATGCAGCCACAACAGATAAAGTGATGTCAAACTGTGTTAATTCTACAGTGTAGATACATCCAAAGAAGGTTAAAGAAATTATAAAACTACAATTCCCTGGATTATGTAGCATTGAGCCAAAGCAGTTCAAGTGGTGTCAAACTGCATTAGTCTTACGGTGCGGGCGCACCCTCTCTTCCCATGGTATGTAGACTATACTGGATTTTCTACTTTCAGTCTCGTAGAAATGAAACCTGGCTCTTTGCCTTCCTTTCCAAAGATGATATCTCTATCTTCACTCAAGTTGGCAAGAAGAATCTACTTTAGTCTTCCCATTTTTTCTAACCTGCTTTGAAAATGTCCCAATTTCCATCCTCTCCTGCCACTTTCTCCCTTTGCCATTGGCTTATTTACATTGCTGCAAATGGAGTTTGAAGTACTTCAGCTGCGTCTGAAATGTCCTGGTTTTGCTCTCCTCCCTCCCTTTGTCCTCAGTTCAATTCAGTTGCTGCAAACTGCGCTCAAAATGCAAAAGCAGGAGAAAAGGGGGCTTTTCTTGACTTCCTTAATAAGGTCTTGACTTTCTTAAATAAGGTCCAGCAAAAACATGCGTGTCTGGGTTGGATGCATTAAAGTCTCTATTATGTCACTATACTAATTCGTCCTTTACCATCCCACTGTCCCAATTGCTTTCAAAACATCCCAGTTTCTCCTCCCAAAATCTCTCCTTTGTCTTCCTCTTCATCTGGATCTACACTGCCATATCATCGGGTTCTGATCCCAGATTATCTGGTTTGAACTGGATTATATGAGTCTACACTGCTAATTAATCCACTTCAAAGCAGATCATCCGGGAGCAGAAACTAGATGATAGGACAGTATAGGTGGCGCCTTTGTAGTAGTTTTCATTCATTAACCGAGGGTGCATCTACACTGTGGAAATAAGGCAGTTTGATACCAGTGTAACTGGCATGGCTCCATGGTGCCATGCTGCACCCTGCCTCAAGGCAGTTCAAGTGGTGCAGAACGGCATTAAACCCACAGTGTAGATGCAGCCAAGGATATAGACGAGGCAAGGGCCAGATCCAGATGGCCGCCCAGCCTGTCTGCGTCTCCCGTCCTGGCAATATTGCTCCTCCGCACATTAATAATGTCACCCACAACATCCGCAGTTCATCCGTCGGCGCGTCTCGTGGCGGCACCATGTATGCCACCATTTGCCGGCACTGTCCTTCCTCCGAGGACAAACAAGGTGGCTTCTGCTTGGAGATGAGGACAGGAATCTGACATTAGGAAGGGCAGAGCAGAGGCAGGAACATCTGCATTTCAAGGCCCTCCACCACGGTCATGTTTGACCCAGAAAAGAGCCAGGGCTCCTCCTCAAATGAAGGCTTTGGCTCCAGCTACATGGTGAGATTGATGCACCATTCTCAAATGAAAGGTTTTGGCTTCATCTACACTGCAGAATGATGCACTTGAACTGCCATGGCTCAGTACTATGGGATCCTGAGAGCTGTGGTTTGGCGAAGCAAAGGGAAGCTAAAGATGTGTTGTCGAAGGCTTTCATGGCTGAAATCACTGGGTTGCTGTGAATTTTCCAGGCTGTATGGTTATGTTCCCAAAGCATTATCTCCTGACATTTCACCCACATCTGTGTTAGGCATCCTCAGAGGTTGTGAGGTCTGTTGGAAACTAGACAAGTGGGGTTTATATATTTGTGGAATAATGTCCAGGGTGGGAGAAAGAACTCTTGTCTGCTTGAGGTAAGTGTGAATATTGCAGTTGGCCACCTTGATTAGCATTTAATGGCCTTACGGCTTTAAAGTCTAGCTGCTTTCTGCGTGGGGGAATCCTTTATTGGCCATCTTTATTAGCATTGAATGGCCTTGCAGCTTCAAAACCTAGCTGCTTCCTGCCTGGGGGAATCCTTTACTGGCCACCTTGATTAGCATTTAATGGCCTTGCGGCTTCAAAGCCTAGCTGCTTTCTGCCTGGGGGAATCCTTTATTGGCCACCTTGATTAGCATTGAATGGTCTTGCAGCTTCAAAACCTAGTTGCTTCCTGCCTGGAGGAATCCTTTATTGGACACTTTGATTAGCATTGAATGCCCTTACAGCTTCAAAGCCTGGCTGGTTGCTCTCCGAGGGGATCCTTTGTTGGGATGATCAATCAGGGCCAGCTAACACCTCCCAACAAAGGATCGTCCCAAGCAGCAACTGTGACGACGCGAGTGGCGCCACCTATGTATAGAACTGTTAGTTGCAAGATTTAAACTGCTGTATCATGCTTAATCCTGCCCCTTTTACCCTGCTTATGTATAGTTGTATGGATTGGTTACTTATAGCTGTCCATCAGTACTGTTTGGCTCCACCTCAATCCTGCAGGAGGGGAGTGCTTCCTTTCTTTTTCATTCTGCCATCAGAGTTCCTACCATATGGACGTGAGTAAGAGACTTGACTCTAAAGGACCCTGATTTAAGTTACCTCTTAGCACCAACTCTGAGGTTTTTTACCCCTGGGACTCATGCTTTATGTCCAGATCATCCTGGACAACATTGAGAAGACCCAAGTGCCTTCAAACCAGTTCTTTTGGCACCAAAGGAAGATCCTGAGTCTTCAAAACATAGGCCATCTGAACTGGGGTTGTGGTTTCCTCTTTCACAGCCATTGAGGAAAGAGGAAACTTGGTGAGGCTTCTCAGCTTCAAACACCTTGGACTCAGAACTAATTGAGACTGTAACGTATATTTTCCTTCACCCCTCTGAAGTTTCCAGCTCATTGCTTTAAGAAATAACTCTTTGTGATCAATAAAACTTATTTTGAGTTATTTACAGCGTTTTGAGAGTTCCAGTTTCCTATAGGAGGGCAAGAAGCAATCCCTTGGGGGAAAGTTGCCACGTCCATTCCTCCTTCATTAAGAATAATAGCCCCCAAGTGTGGCAGCACAGCAACCAACCAGTTTTTGAAGCTGTAAGACCATTCAATCAAGGTGACCAATTGCAACATTCACACTTGCCTCAAGCAGACAAGATTTCTTCCTCCCACCCTCTACATTCCACAGATATATAAACCTCACTTGCCTAGTTTCCACACAACCTCTGAGGATGCCTGCCATAGATGTGGCCGAAACACAGTCAATTAACATTCATTATAGAACTGTCGGACGTGTGAAAAGCAACAACAAAAGAAGCCAAACTGGCAGAGACATTCAAAACACAATACATATTAATCGAGACATCTAAGACGACAATGGGAAGTCATCATATATATGTGTGTGTGTATGTATATGTATGTATGTGTGTGTGTATATATATACATAATTTTTCTCTTTCATTTATTCATTTTCCCTGACTTTCTTCTCAGTTTTTTCTTTCTTCCTTACTTTCACTATCACTTTGAGATGGTTTCCCCCACTTTCGCTGTAAATATTATTTATAATCACAATATTTTTTTTTTTAAAAAAAAAGCAACACCAGGAAAGATTGCTTCAGGAACATGGCCATACAGCCCAGAAAACTCGCAGCAACCCAGGAAGCTGAAAAACTCGCAAAACAAAAACTCCCAGGGTTTCACGGAATTGGGCTGTGTATTGACTCTACATTGAGATGCAGCCCCAGTCAACATACAACTCTTTGGGCCATCATAGTTCAAGTGGTGCCAAACTATGGTGTAGATGCAGCCTTGGCACAATGTTTTTAAAAATCCAAACATTTTTTAAATTTTTTTGCAACATCTTAGTTTTGAACAACATTGTTTGCAATTGCTGGCCCAGACATAGAAGAAGCAAAGCCATTCCTCCAGTCAAGCCCCATCGACACTGGAATATAATGCAGTTCCAGAATGCAGTCACGCTAGAGAATGAATCCAATTTAAATCTGGTTGCTGTTTCCTGCAGAATTGTGGGGTTTGTAGTTTAGGGAGGAGCCTTTAACAGCCTCACTAAACTACAAACCCCAGAATTCTGCAGGAGGCAGAAACCAGATTCATTCTCTAGTGTGATGAACTGGTAAGTGCATTGAACTGGATTACATGGTAGTGTAGACTCATATTATCCAGTTCAATACAGTTAAACTGCATTATATGGCAGTGTAGCTAGAGCTCCAGTTTTACTAGAAAGGGTGACTGAGTACATCTAGAATTAATGCAGTTGGACACCACTTGAACTGCCATGGCTCAGTGCTATGGAATCATGGGATTTGTAGTTTGACAAGGACTTCAGCCTTCTTTGCCACAGAGTACTGGTATCGCATCAAAGTAAAAATCCCAGGATTCCATAGCATTGAGCCACAGCAATCAAAATAGTGCCAAACCAAATAAATTCAACAATGCAGTCGCAGGAACGTTGTTTCACGGAGCGGAGATGGACCCAAGAAAGCCGAAGAATGGGTCACTCTGCTATGAAAGACACAGCAGTGGGTTCCTCTGGGATCAAGGCTGAAAAAGAAAACAAACAAAAAAGGGGATGAATTCCTCCCTGGATCCGATCTGTGTGTCCAAATGTGATCAAACAGACCTTTAAGATTAGCCAAAGCTACATCAAAAGTCACAGGGTTGAAAAACCAAACAGGCATGTGCGGGTGACACTCTCTCAGCCTCGGATGCTGGTGACGGCAGGCCCCTCCTGAAGAAATCCTGCCAAGAAGACCCTATGATAAGGTCACCATGCATCAGAAGGGACTTGAAGACACACATACAACAATAACAGCAACCAGAAATGTCTCCAACATGATATGTAATTCCACTCCTGGATACTTAGACCGCATGGAAGTGATGCAGGATTTGGGCCACTGTCAACCAACAAAGACACGTGTTTATTTCCGTCCATGGTCCTGGGACATAGATTTCCTATCAAGTGGGTTTTATAGATACACTAGCTTAGGACAGGGTCTGGGATAGGTAATTTGTAAGGCTATTGATTAGAAAAAGTCATGTTTTTTGTTTTTGGATTTTATGAATGGTGCCATTAGAAAATGTGTATTAAATGTCCTTTGAGCAGAAGCTGGTCACTTGGAGTGTCTCTGGTGTTGCTATAAGAAGGTCCTCCATTGTGCATGTGGCAGAGCTCAGACTGTATTGTGATAGGTGGTCTGTGGTTTGTTCTTCTCCACACCCACATGTCATAGACTCCACTTTGTAGCCCCATTTCTTAAGGTTGGCTCTGCATCTCGTGGTGCCAGAATACAGTCTGTTCAGTGCCTTCCCAGTTGCCTAGTCTTCTGTGTGTCCAGGGGGGAGTCTCTCATTCGGTATCAGCCAATGGTCGAGGTTTAGCCTGCCACTTTTGGACTCTCGCTTGCTGAGGTCTTCCTGCGAGTATCTCTGTAGACCTTAGAAAACTATTTCCTTATTTAAGACGTTGGCGTAATATAATGCCAAGTTTTTAAACTTTGTGCTTTTAAATACTTTACAACTGTACCCTCAATTTGCTTCTGATACAATAAATAAATAAACAAATTAGAAAATGTGTAATGATGTGGGTGAATGATAACTCCCATAATTCTGGGTCAATGCCCTCCAAACCCTGCCAGTATCCAAAGTTGGCCATGTTTGGTATACGTCCCAAGTTTGATCCAGATCCATTGTCGATTGGGTTCATAGTGTTCTTTGGATGGGATATAAATTATAAATCCGAGCACAATTCAAAGTGCTGGTTTTGACCTATAAAGCCCTAAACGGCTCTGCCCACTCTACCTGTCCAAATGTGTCTCTCCCTATGAACCATCAAGGACATTAAGATCATCTGGGGAGGCCCTGCTCTCGGTCCCGCCACCATCGCAGTCGCATTTAGTGGGGATGAGAGACAGGGCCTTCTCTGTGGTGGCCCCTCGGCTGTGGAACTCCCTCCCTAAAGAGGTTAGATCTGCCCTTCCCTCCTAACTTTTCGCAGGACACTTAAAACTTGGCTGGAGCAAGCGTTTGCAGAATACACAGTTTTTATTGGCTTAGATGATATTGTAAGGACCACATTTTTTGGACTGATTTGGAGCTCGTTTTAAACTTGGCAAACTGTTTTTAAATGTATATGTATTATCATTTTATGTAATTGTGTATTATATTGTGTATTATATTGTTGGAAGCCACCCTGAGTCCCTCTTCGGAGGTCGGGAATAGGACAGGATACAAATGTTCTACATCTATATAAATAAAAATGTAGTGTTAGTTTGTGGGATTAACATAACTCAAAAACCACTGGATGAATTGCTGTAAAAATTTGGCCACAAGGCACCTACTAACCCAAGGAGTGACCATCACTTAAAAAACTGATTTTGTCATTTAGGAGTTGTAGTTGCCAGGATTTATAGTTAACCTACAATCAAAGAGCATTCTGAACTCCACTGATGATGGAATTGAACGAAACGTGGCACACAGGACTCCCATGACCAACAGAAAACACTAGAAGGGTTTGGTGGGCACTGACCTTGAGTTTTGGAGTTGTAGTTCACCTACATCCAGAGAGCACTGTGGACTCAAACAATGATGGATCTGGACCAAACTTGGCATGAATATCCCATATCCCCAAATTTGAACACAGATGGAGTCTGGGGGTAATAGCCCTTGACATTTGGGAGTTGTAGTTATTGGGATTTATAGTTCACCTCCAATCAAAGAGCATTCTGAACCCCACGAACGACAGAATTGGGACAAACTTCCCACACAGAACCCCCATGACCAACAGAAAATACTTAAGGCCATCCAGTGCAACTCCCTTCACCAGGGCAAGAAAATGTAATCAAAGCCCTCCTGAGAAAGAGCCATCAAGCCATAGATATAGATAGATATATATGGTTCACACATACACAGTTATAGTATCATAGATTTAAAAGGGACCCCTAAATTAAGACAATTATATGTTGCATGATCCAGAGTAGGCAAACCAGACAATCTCCACATCAACACTGATGAAGAAACAACAAGAAATACTGTTTATCCACAAGCATAAAGAAATTACATATATTAGAAACCAACGCTTTCTCATTATTTTATTTTCCAGAACACCAGACTGGGCCACAGTAACGCGTGGCAGGGGACGGCTAGTAAATAAATAAATCTCAAGATTCAAGGTCAATCCCCTCCAAATCCTGCCAGTTTACAAAGTTGACCATGGTGGGTATGCGTGCCAAGAGTGCTCCAGATCCATTGTTGGTTGGGTACACAGTGCTCTGTGGATGTTGGTGAACTATAACTCACAAAATCCAAGGTCCATTCCTCCCCTCCATCTCCCCACAACCCCTCCAGCATTTTCTGTTGGTCATGGGGGATCTGCATGCCAAGTTTGGTCCAGATCAGTGATAGATATCGCTATAGATGTGGCATGAATCTGTCCATATCAAATATGACATACATCGCGTGGTGTGGCAGAGTTTTGATATGGAATATGGAGAGAGCCGAGTGCGAGGATGCACCTTGCAGGCAATGGGAAGATGGTGAGGGAGAGAAAGGGCCCGCTGTGCCTTTAAGCAGCATCCTCTGTCTAGGCGGCTGTGATGAATGGGGAATTGAGCGAGGCCCCTTGGCAGCTGTCGGGGCTTGGAACGGGCTGAGACATTTCCTTTGTCCTGTGGAAATGCGGCCCTGCAGAGCACCACCGGCGGGAGGGGCCCCTGCTCCAGACCACTATAGGCCTCCCATGCGCAGAGGCAGATACGTGTGTCTTTCAATGTGCGCACATTGCTACCTTCATGGGGTTTTTCTTAATGCATCAGTATTGGTCTGGAAATGTGTGAAGTTGTGCCCTAGGAATACAGAGAAGCCCAAGGAGGAGTCCGAATGGAAAGCTGCGGGCAGACATGCAGTGTTGTGTATGCGCAGAAGCGCAATTTCGTCTCCATTCAGGCATGCCTACTTTTGCATTTGCAAGTGTGCAATCTGGTGCACAAACAACATTAGGTGCATTTCTGAGCAACTTGGAGCAACTTGGCAACAGAACATATTCAAAGTTGGCCATGTTTGGAATACATGCCAAATGTGGTCCAGATCCATCGTCGTTTAGGTTCACAGTGTTCTCTCGACGTAGGTGAACTACAGCTCCCAAATTGTGGAGGAATAAATATATCTTTCGATGGCAACAGAAAATATTCAAAGTTGGCCAAGTTTGGAACACATGCCAAATGTAATCCAGATCCATCGTCATTTGGGTTCACAGTGTTCTCTCGACGTAGGTGAACTACAGCTCCCAAATTGTGGAGGAATAAATATATCTTTCAATGGCAACAGAAAATATTCAAAGTTGGCCAAGTTTGGAACACATGCCAAATGTAGTCCAGATCCATCGTCATTTGGGTTCACAGTGCTCTCTCGATGTAGGTGAACCACAACTCCCAAATTGTGGAGGAATTAATATATCTTTTGATGGCAACAGAGAATATTCAAATTTGGCCATTTTTGGAATATGTGCCAAATGTGGCCCAGATCCATCGTTGTTTGGGTTCACAGTGGTCTCTCAATATAGGTGAACAACAACTCCCAAATTGTGGAGAAATAAATATATCTTTCGATGGCAACAGAGAATACTCAAAGTTGGCCATGTTTGGAAGACATACCAAATGTGGTCCAGATTCATCGTCGTTTGGGTTCATAGTGCTCTCTTGATGTAGGTGAACTACAACTCCCAAATTATGGAGGAATAAATGTATCTTTTGATGGCAATGGAGAACCACATTTGTTGTTGAAGCTCAGCTCTCCCATGTTCAGGACTGTGACTTCCTCATAATTCCCTATTATGTGGCATTCCTCTTTTGCTAAAGCCTTCTCTCAGCTTTATCAACTGGAGCCCCCAGCAGTGCAATGGGTTAAACCCTTGTGCCAGCAGGAATGAAGACCGACAGGTCGGAGGTTCGAATCCGGGGAGAGCACGGATGAGCTCCCAATGTCAGCTCCAGCTCCCCATGCAGGGACATGGGAGAAGCCTCCAACAAGGATGATAAAACACCAAAACATCCGGGCGTACCCTGGGCAACATTCTTGCAGACGGCCAATTCTCTCACATCAGAAGCGACTTACAGTTTCTCAAGTTGCTCTTGACACGAAAAAAAGCATTATCAACCAAGAATGCTATATCAACGTCATGGGCTGCAATACAACCTCATATCCATGGGATTGGGATCTGTGGTTTCATGTACCTCCTTATGTTCTTATAAGCATTTTGTACGTCTTTCAGTGCAACTCTACAGCTATTCATTTCAATAGGGCTCACTATTCACAGTTTAGTGCATCCATGTAAAGTTTGGAAACTTATCCCATTGCAGAATGCAATGCAGCCTTGTTGGTGAATTGCAAAAAGGGCACATCTGGCACAATGTTTTCCTGATGTGCATTTGCGCTGTGCAGTGGAGACTCCGGATATATCCATAGTATGCAAACATGGGGATTAGAACAGAATTGTAGAGCTGTGATTGTATAGAGTGTGGGTGGGCCTCAATGCAACCTTTTCTCTT